CGAGGAAGAAGACATCCCGTGGGTCTCCTGTTTTTGTTGCCGAGTTCCGCCAGTAGCGGCATCACCTCCGGCGGCGGCGGTGGCGACGGGAGGGGCGGCGACCAAAGACGACGACGACGCCGCCGCCACCGCCGGTCCCACCGCCCCCGACACGGCGGGAAGCGGCGGCGTCGCCCAGGCGGCAGGGAGTTGGATGCTGGTGCAACCCCCCTGGCTGCCGCCGTCGCCGTAGCCGTTGTTCATGGCGGCGCCGGCCGGTTGCTGGGTGACCGGCGCCATGTAGGGCTCACTGCCCACCCCTCCCCCGGAGGAGGCGTTGGTGCCGCCGCCGGCGGGGGCGGTTTCCCCCTGGCCCTGGCCCGCCCTGGGTTCTTCCTTGTCGGGGCTTTGCAAGCATTCTGGGGGTGGAGGGAGAGGTACAGGTAGCGCGGGGGGATAGGCATCGGTCGGCGGGAGGGCGACTGCTGAAAATAGGGAGAATGAGAGATGTTGTTTTTGTATGCCAGGCCGGGCACGAAGGCCTAAGGACCCGGTGCGTCGCACGAGTTCAACAGGTGGTGTCGCAAGTGTGTGTATGGGCCTATTTAGTCCTCAGACGGAAAAGCTTATTAACCATTTATCGAAAAAACGCTCCCCGGATACGGCGGGTCTTTCCAATTGCAGTGGACCGTCTCACGTGGCGGGTCTTGGTAAAAGGCATCCGTACCACCGATCGCACACGAACATGTCCGAGGACGCGACAACACCCTTTGGTTGTTTTCCGGAAGCTGGGTGTGGATCAACGTTCTCGTTCACGTCCCGACACCAAGGTCGACGCTTGCTGGCCGACGACCCCCACGCCAGGATCACCTGCATCGTATCGTAGCTACACCCCCCCCCAAGCACGAGAACCACCGACGTCGACCAACACGAGGAAACCAAAACAACAGGACCAACCCTCGACACGCGATAAACCAAAAAAAATCGCAGCAACCACCGGCTTCCACCAACGCGATAAACCAAAACAACGGCAGCAACCACCGACGTCGAGCAACACGAGCGAACCGAAACAACACGACGACGGCCAGGGCCGGCCGAAGAAACAACCGCGGGCGAGGAGGTTTAGTGGCGGAGCAAGGACAGCCTCTCGAAAACCACCACCGAAAAAACGGGGTCCCGCCGCGCAACACCCCATCACCGTTTGCTCACCGCTGCCGCCGCTGGTGTTTATCCCGTTGCTGGTGGGTCCTCCCTGCCGCCCGCTCGAGGATGTCATCCCCGCGCCGCACTCGAGACAACCGCCTGGTCAGGGTAATCGAATACCGTTCCATAATAATAATAATAAAAAGCAACGGGTGGAAACCGGGTGATGAGATTAAGGTGGCGATGTGGCGGTGGTGATAGGGGAGGGGGTGACAACATACCATGAGGACAGAGGAGCTGGTCAACCTCTCCCCCGTCCATGCGCTCGCTGAGACGATCTCAATTCGAAGCATACACGGACTGCACACCCCATGGCCACTTCATCGCGTCCTCCAGGGTACACCCGTTCCAATCCGAAGTCCCCCCTAGCCGAAGTCCCCCCTCGCCCCTCGCCCGGGCTGGGCGGGAGGAACCCGGCACATCGCTCCGTCCCGGCATTGAAGGGATGCGAGGTCAATCGTGTGACGACCATGACACGCATTTACATGAGAAACCCCCTCGTTGCCAAGGTAGGAAGGAACGATTCGTCACCGATGATCGGTCCTGTGGGAACAATGCCCCATCCTCTCGAGGACGCGGTTTCAATGGTCTAACCGCTAAGGCACGCAACACATGAGGTACCCCCCCCCCCTCGTGATCCCCCCCCCCGATGTTTGCCATCGGGGTTGGGTTTTCGTCGCTTGGCAACGACGTTGTAAAACATGCCGCCCCCCCCGGTGTTTGTCATCGGGGTTGGGTTTTCGTCGCTTGGCAACGACGTTGTAAAACAAGCCAATTCACTTCGTGAACTCGGCAACCAGGTTACCGTTTTTTTTTTTTTTTTACCTCGGTTTTTTTTTTGGCGGTAACCATAATGGTGGTCGAGTAGATCATGTTGTGCGGGGTCGAGAAACCTCACTCCGCGCAACGGGGGATGATCGTACCACGTTGTGTTAAAATGGTCAAGCTTCCTCGAGGCGGTTACACAGTGCTTACAACTGTCTCTGGAAGTGAAAGCACCAGAAAATAAATTAAGTCATACGTAGCTGTCATCCGTACGCAAGGAAGTAAGCACAAGATGCCGAACACCCTTAGAAGGATGCAGCTCACCCTTCATGCGACTCGCCAAACACCTCACGGCGCTTCGCGCTTGGTGATGGGAGAGCCTGGTCCGGTGAGAACCCGGCGTGCTCCGTCCCGGCTTTGTAGGGATGCGAGGTCAATGGTCAAACGACTACGGCATCCACGACTATGAGTCCCCCCCCCCCCCCCCCCTCGTGATCCCGCGGTGCCTCTCACCACGAGGGGTCTCCGCCGGGTCGAAGCCGACATACTCCCGTTCCAATCACGTAAGTACCCCCCCCTCCCTCTCTCTCTTGATCCCGCGGTGCCTCTCACCACGGGGGGTCTCCGCCGGGTCGAAGCCGACAGCGTCCATCTTGACGGCCGCCTCCAGGAGGTAGTGGAGGCACTCGCTCTGGGTCTTCGCCTTCTCCCAGGTGGGGCCCCAGACGTAGCACCCGTGTCGCTGCACCAGCACCGCGTTCGACTTGGGATAGCTGCAGCAACAAGAGCAAGCAGAGCGCGCGCACGGGTGGGCAAGCAGGCAAGCAGGCAAGCAGGCAGGCAGGCAGTTATCGCGCGACAAAAGAAGGCGTACTGGTGTAACGAAACAGGTTTCGCCCAAGAGTTTTCCCTTCATTGTTGGGGTCAACTCTCTTCCGGTCTCGTACGACCATATTGTGTATCCGATTTTCTTGTCGAGAGCATGCTTGTGCTGCTATGGTCAACGCTTGCCTCCTCGACACAGTGGTGCTATGGTCAAACAGCAGCGGAAGCCACAGCACTGTGGCAGCAGTAGCGACAGCAGCACCAGCAACGGCAGACAGGAGCAACACCAACAACCAGAGGGGAGCAACACCATCTCATCAACAACAACAACAACCGCAGCACTAGCACCAGCACCAGTACCAACGGCAGACAGGAGAAACAACAACAACAACAACCACTAATCGAGCAGTTGGAGCTAATAATAGCTTCCGCACTTGGTGATAGCCTCAGCCAGCGAGTCCGCGAGATCCGCCTCGTTGGCGGTGTTGTCGATCACGGGGATCTCCAGCTCGTCGTGGAACCCATGACTGCGGCGGCGCTCAATGTCATCACGGTCGGCCATAAAAAAAAACGGATCGAGACAACGACGACGACATCAAGGGAGGGACAAAGAAACGAGAATAAACCAATCACGGTCGGCAAAACAAGAGGTATCGAGACAACGACGACGTGGGACAAAGAAACGAGGACAAACGAATCACATTCTGACAAAAAAAAAAAAAAAGAACCTTGACAACGACGGCGTCAAGGGAGGGACAACGAAACGAGGACTAAACCAATCAAAGTCAGCCAAAAAAAATAAAAAACGTACCTGTAGACAACGACTACGGCGTCAAGGGAGGGACAAAGAAACGAGCACTAAACCAATCAAAGTCAGCCAAAAAAAATAAAAAAAAACGTACCAAGACAACGACTACGACGTTAAGGGAGGGACAAAGAAACGAGTATATCAGAAGGTCAGAAGTGACGGCAACAACAGCGTAGAGTAGGGTAAAGGTGGATGCTGGGTGGGTGAATGCCCCCGGCCGGCGTACGCTTGCGCAAATTCCGCGTAAAAATTCTCTGTCGTTGCCGACGTTGTCGCTGCTGCTGCTGCTGCTGCTGCTGCTGCTGTGTACACATGGGTACATGTTCTGGTTTCGTCAGGAAATCATGTGCCAAAACATTCCGCCTCCTCCAGGGGGTGTCTATTGGTCTCTCGTGTGTCTCCTCTGGCGATTGCGTGTGTGAATGAAGGTGTCAACCCTCGTCCACCCGTTTCGCTTGCTGCTGCTGCATTTGGAAACACATCCCGCCACGTGAAACTACCGCCGCCGCTGCTGCTTCTGCTGCTGCTAAATTTCTCGGTGTAAAGTTTTCCTCCAAAAGTGGGCCCACCACGTTTGTAAGGATCCGACACGGCTGCTGCGATGTTGCTCCAGTACCGCTGTACCGCTCTGTTCTCGAATACATCTTCCCACTTACTGCCCGAGGCAAGAGAGACGCGCCCTCCTGTTTTCCTGCCCCACTAGCAAGAGCCCACACCGCCACCGCCTCGGCGACCAAATAAAAGCTCCCACCAACGACGTGCTCTGCTCTGCTCGCTTCGCCAAGCTAGGTAAATGGGTAGGTGGTCGGCGTATCCTGCAAGATACAGATGGCATCTCAAGGCTAAGCCACCACCACGACACTGCTGGCAGTTGGTTAGAGGAGCCCGTCAACAACCGCGCTGCTGCTGCTGCTGCGGCGGCGGCGGCTCGTCTCGCCTCGCCTCGCCTCGCCAAGCTCGAAGACCAAAACCACTCTTTTAATGTCCGCTAGGCGGCCGGCCGTGCAAGACCTGGGACCCCGCACGGTCGGTAAGCACCACCACCAACAACACCGCCACCACCACCAGCGAGTAGCATGCCGCTGTTTCCAAACACCTGATCCGCCCGGTAGCCTTGGCGAGGGTGACATTAATACTGGTTTTAGTAGGGGCTGTTACGAGTTAGGGTTATAGGGTAAACGACACGAAAATCCCCTCTCCATTGCATAGATCAACACTTAAAAAGCTTGGCGAAGGTCGTCGGTCCGATCCGCCAGCGGCGCCAAAAAAAAAAAAAAACGAAGAGACGCGAGGAGTTCCCATGGTTCAACGCCAAGCCGGAGACACGACGGGCAACGCGGGATCTCTTTAGACAGGTTTTCAGGGGGTATAACAGGGTGCGCCCTGACCGCACCTTGTACCCCTCGAACCCACTGAAGATGCTGCGGGGTCCCTTGGGTCCCCGGCTTTGCGTTGAACCAACGGTCCTCAGTGCGTCTCAGTGTTTTTTTTTCTGGCACTGGGGGGATCAGGTGTTTATAAACGTCGGCCTGCCACTATTGTAGACGGTGGTGTTGGTAGTGGATGGACACCGACCGGGCGGGGTCCCAGATCTTGCGCGGCCCGCTGCCTGGCGGCCACTATTAATAGTGCTTCTGCTCTTCGAGCTTGGCGAGGCGAAGCGAGCAGCTGCAGAAGCAGCGAAGTTGTTGATCGGATCGTCTCACCAAATCCTAGCAGTGTCGTGGTCGTTGAGCCTTAGGCCTGAGGTACCACCTGGGAGGGTATATCTTGCAGAATAGGCCGACCACCTGCTGCCAGGACTCTTGGTACACTATTTACTCCGTCTTCATACAAGTTGTTGCGTAGAGGTAGCTTGAATGCCTTCCTTCGTGTTTAATGTTGTGTGGGATTGAGCGATAGCGAGCGACTGAGAGAGAGAAAGGAAGGAAAAGGAAAGGTGAAATGGACTGAAAACGGAGGTCGCTACTTGTAGCCTGCAACGCAGCAGTGGTCCGCCACCACTACTTTGTATCTGTACGACGAAGAGATGGGAGAGACCAAGATACAAGTGCGAACGAGGATTCATTCGCCCTCTTCGTCGACGCCAAGGTCAAAGGAGGGGATTGTCCTCGATACAAGGGCGACGGACGCGGGGGGCTACCGTCCCCCCAGTCCTCCGTTTGAGAGCGGATGTGCATACATACGAAACGGAAAATGTGAGGCAGCAGGCCACTTTGGCTCCATCCCTCCAAGTTTAGCATTCAGAAACGGGGCCTTGGTACTTGGTACCCTGTTGTTTCTCGGTACGGCAGATCGTTCGCCTGCTTTACTCCCAACCCACTAGCAGTGGCTCTGCAGGTGGCTTCGCAACCTTCCGGGGTGTGGAACGTGGACCTATATATTGTTAAACGAGCGTAATACACCGGGCCGTGACGTACGTAGAATACTTCCCTTCGGTCTAAGAATTGACCAACTCAAGTGCTTAAAAGCGTCAACTTCAAAATCCAAGAAAAAAAAAATATCTTTCTCACCCTTCCATGCCCTTGATCATCTCCTGGTGGGTGATGCGGAAGGTCTTGACGCCCTTGCGCTCGCACAGCATGGCGCCCAAGACGCAGTAGATGCCGTGGCTGTGGATCACGGCCCCTGCGTTCCGCAGGCGGTAGGCGTGCTGGAAGAGAGACAGGCACGCGGAAATCTTCACTCTGCGATGGGAGGGTCGTGTCCGGGGGGGCGGGGGGGGGAGGGTAGAGACTGGGATGAGGAGATCAGCTGTTGGTTTGGGGTAAGTGTTTGGAACATACACACCCAGCACACCAACTTCGCGCGCTGTTTGCAACCCCGTGCGTGCGTTCGGAAAACACCAACTCTTCTTACCCGGAATGCGGTTGCCCTTAGCAGCCAGCCTTCCTTCCATGCCTAGCAACCAAGACAGAAAGGAGGGGGGGGGGGGGGAGTGACGTGGAGATCTCCTCTACCAAAGGTAAAATCTCCCCCCAACGCCTGACAAGAACTATGCCATCTTTTCACAGAAACCGACAAAAAAAAAGAAGCCGGAAACAAGCCAAAAATAAAACCCGCCGGAATAAAGGTATTTTGGTACCTTCGTTTTTCACAGAATCGACGAAAATAAACCCGCCGGAATAAGGAATAATACCTTTTTGCGCCAGAGCGAGTTGACGGGCGTGCGAGCACAAGACCCTGGCGGTCCAAGATGAATAGGTCCGACGGCTTTAGCCTTTCCTTCTGGACCCCCGATGGCGTCATGAAAACACGATTGCCATGCCTGTGGAGTGCGTGATACCGTATGTGTTTTGTGTGTCAGAGTCCTGTTTCAAGAAAATACGGGATCACGGAAACACGATGGTCGTGCCTGTTGAGCGCGTGGGTATGGTACGTGTTTCGCGTGTCAGTGTCCCGTTTCAAGAAAATACGGGATCACGGAAACACGATGGTCGTGCCTGTGGAGCGCGTGTGCGTGCGCGTGAGTTTGGGTGTGTCAAGCGTGCTGCATCAAGTAAATATAGCAAGCATTCACCGAGAGACTTTATACTACCCTGGGGTTGTATAATAAGTGATGATGCTGGAAAATGATAAAAACGGGCTGGGAATATCCTTCAACGGCAGGGGAGGAGAACACGCTACCACTTGGTGGTGATGATGCTGGAAACTGGTAAGAACGCGTTGGGAATAGACTACGGTAAAAATGGGGAAACACACGCTTCCACTTGGTGGTGATGATGCTGGAAACTGATAAAAGTGGATTGGGAATAAACTGCGGGAACAGGGAGGTACAAACGATTCAAATAAAATGCAAATGTTTCTACGGTGCAAAATAACGAACGACGAACCTCCTCGCTTGCCCAGGAAGTAATTCCTCATGTGTCGTATCTCCCAAAAAAAAAAAACGCATTCTGGCCCTAGAAAACATATCGACGAAGCACGCGGCGATGACGCTCCTTGTCAAAAAGACTAATAAAATCAGTGGTAAACAAACACAGCCCAAGTAATTAGAAGGGCTGTTCTTGAGAGCACAGCAGAGCGTTACGCAGAGGTGATGCAACAAGAAAAAAAAAGGAGGCCGCAGCAGCTGGCTGCCAGCTGCCGTGTGACGTTTCCCAAGCCCAACAGCTGACGTGTTTCCGACTCCGACAGCCCAGCAAACCTAAACGAACCGAAAAGAGAAAACTTCAAAAAAATCTGTACAGAATACAGTGGCGGCTACGGTTTTGAGAGAGGGTTATGACAAGCCAGTTTCTCTCTTAAATCTGTTTTTCTCTTCAACCGTAATATGAAATGTATGCATTTCTCATGGTCGTGACAAGCCAGTTTGACCCTCTTAAATCGGTACTTTCTCTTAAACAGTCTTCTCTTAAACCGTAGCCGCCACTTGTACAGTACAGTCTTAAAGCAGTGTTCGGTGACCACGACCAACTATAATAATCGAAGGCGTTTGTTGTACCATACCTGATGCTGATGGAACCTCCCGTTCCCGTCACCCATCCCAGGTCATAGAATTGCCGGCACAGGCTCGCCACCAGCTCTCGCGGGTCTCCCGCCAACGTACCGGAGGAACCGGGCGCCGGCGTCGTGCGGGGGTCTCGTATCTCCACGTTCACGCCTCCGTCGCCGGTCTGTGCATGGGCGGGGGGGGGGGGGGGGGTGGTCCTGTTTTTGATGCCAAAACGGGTAAAACCTTTAACCCCCCTCCCCCAAAAGAAGGAGCAATTTTTCCCCAGGAACCAACACCCAAGGGCCAA